TGTGCTTCGGAAGAAAAAGCCATATGCATTTGAAGCAGTAATCCATTTAACTGATAGAGGCATGGGCATTTTTGAGGTTTTTTTGTTTTCTTTTGGTGTAAAGCAAGAAAAATTTGTCCTCCGGAACAGTTTGGCAGAAGTATAAAGGAAAAACCTCCTCCCCACCCTGGTGACTTTAATTGTAGTTGGATTGTAGTGTCCTCATCATTTGGGCAACAAGTAGCGAAACAATGGTTTTCCTGAACAAAGATGCACAGTAAAACTTTGAGGCTTCATCCTTCCTCTTAATTTCTTGGAGAGTTAAAGGAAACCCTCCAAAAGCTATGAATTTCCTATTTCATTGGGAAGTATTTGGTGCTGTTTGAAGTCTGGAAGGACTCTAAGGAAAGCTCAAAGAATGCTGAGGAAGTGCTTACTAGATTGATGAAGTAAAAATAATAATTGCAAGAACAGTTATCACTGGGAGGATAAGGACAAAATGTTTTATCTGATAATATGGGGGCAATGCCTGAGCTCTGATGTAGAATTGTGTGCATGGGAAAGACGTGAACCTCTGGTCAGAGAACTCTGTCCTGGAGAGATTAAGAGTTCTCAAGCAAGGCCCTTTACCGACAAAGTCCATTCTCATCTGCTGTTGTTACACTTGGGATGTTGCCTTCTCTTCTCTGCGGCACGTTAACCTCACCTTTTCTTCTTTGAATCAAGGAAACACCAAGAGCTGTCAGCCAGTTGGGCCGAGTGTCAGCACTGAGGTTATGCAGCTCGTGTCACAATTTCTTTAAACCATTATGGAGCAGTTTTGCTCTTTAATGCCAGCCAAATGAATGGAACATCATTTTTTCTAACGAGATGTTGGTCCTGTTTTTTTTCCCTTATGCTGTCTAAAACCAATGGATACTGTCTCCTTGCCAGTTTGGAAACTGGATAATTCTGCCTTGTATTTTCTGAGTTTCAACCCTGCCCTGTGTGCCCAGGTGTTCTGCTGGGTTGTATAGTGGTTATTCCATATTTTGTTCCACTTTAGGCTGCGACATTCAGTGTTCATTAGTTTTTGGTAGTTTCTTTTCACTTCATAAAGCAGCTTGGTTGAAGGGCGCTACTGAAGCGTCAATGCGCAGTCGTCAGTGATCACACAGACCAATTGCTGGAGTTCAAGACTGCATATCAGGTCTGATGACTGTTCTGTAATGCTGGAGCTACCATATCAGAATAGCTTATTTGTAGGCATATAGAAGCTGACTTTTAGAGCAGAGAATTCCTAGAAGACAGCCAGAGAAAAGTGAAAATACAATACACAGGGATTCCAAGCCCTACAAATAAGTTCCTTGACACGGGTTGTAATTGCTCTGATGAAAGATGTTTCTTAGTAAAGAAAAGCTGGCAGGGGTGTAACTTCTCCAGTGTTTCTCTTTAATCACATGTTTAAATAAGGGATTAGATAATGAAGCAGCAGTTTCATGAAGGGAAGCATATAGAGAAAGCATGACTGTTATGTAACCTGGCTCTTTCTCTGTTGGTATTTACTGTCTGTATTGCAGCTGAAATTAAAATAATCAAGGCAAGGCCCAATGACGTATAACCTGATTGCAGATCAATGCATTAGAATTGGACTTCTTGGCATTCCAGGCTTTTGGCATCGACTCAGCAGTAGGAATGATTGTGTAACAAGTAGGATTTCAGACATGTATTGTCCTCCGTCCCCTCCGCGTTTCCCTCCAACAAAAACCACCACCAAACCAAAACTGTCATTAAACAGCAGTGACGGGAGGATGAGTCTCGTGTTAGGTGATGGAAACTGATTATGGTCCACACCTTCTTTGTCTTTTTAGAGAATGATCTGTTTTCCTCCAGGCAAAATTTAACCTGCATTCCTTAGTCAGACCAAATGAGCAGTAGTGAAATTGTTGGTGTCATGCATGTGGCATTTGGCTAAAGGTGAAACTAAGTCTGGTCTGGTTTGCTTTTTAAATACAAGGATATTGTTTTCTTTCCTCAGAATCTGAAGAGATGAATTTAAGATTCTTATAATAGTGACTATGCAATTCTTCCAATAAATCTGTCTGTTTCACAGCAGTCTCTCTAGTTGATCTTATATTAGTTGAAATAGCTTTCCTTTTTCTTAGCCATAATTGTTTTCAATCCTATATTTATTACAGTAAGGCTTTAAATGAAGGCATTCCTTTATGGAAGCAGTTGGTTGTCAAGTTCATATAAATAATTAAAACTTGGTAGACTTCTTAAACAAGTTTGTAGCCCTTATTTCAAAAGAAATGGAGAAGCTGTGGGTACCAGAGGTGCTCTTGAGAAACGATGTGCTACAAGCTAGCAGTTATGTTGAACAAAGTTGATTTGTAGAGATTCTTCCTCACAGGTTTTTCAGTTATTGTCACTTTATACAAATAAGTGAGAGGGATTATAAATTCCATTCTGTTGTAGAATTTGCCATGCTGAACTGCAGTCTTGAATCAGCATATATGTTCAATGTCTGGAATTACAGATTCTGCAGTTAATGGTGGGATCAAGATCAAGTGTGCATGTTACTCTTTCACCCTGCCTTTTGAGACCTTTTTTATGAACAGGCAAGAAATGTCAGTAATACAATAGATTACTGTCACGAAGGATGAGACAGTAGTCTAGTTTCGGTCTTGGGAACACAAAATAAAAATCATCTGAAGAGATAAATGTGGAGTAGATCACATCAATATCTGCAAGATTAAATAAACCCTCCCCCCATAATGAATAGCTAAATTTTTATTGATAGAAATTTTAATCAAGGTCCAGATTTCTGACAGTAGTTCATAGAGCTTTTAATGACAGCTCTTTGTCCCTCAGATTAGGTGTTACAGGTAGCAGCACCTTATTCTTGGCAAGCATATGCTTTAAGGTGCCATCAGAGGAACTACTAAGTGGGCTGAGTGTGGAAGGAATATCACCTCCCAAGATTGCTTTAAGAAGAAAGTCATCAGTTTCAGGGCTCTTTGAAGAAATGTCAGGTCTCACACATATTTGTAATTACCAAATGCATCCATGAGACACTTAAAATTGCAATTTTGTTACGTCAGTGGTAAAATAATGTCAGTCTCCGTAAACTTGGAAGTCCTGGATGAGTAGCAGCTTCATTTTTCTGTAGTCACATCGTGTCATATATGGTAAAGAGCACTTGTAAAGCAGATTTGTTTGTTTGTCCATTACTTTAAGGCCACCAAAGAGCACAGGCAGGACTCTGCTCCTATTCTGCATTTTCCTTGGCTTCAGAATACTGTGTGTTTCACTGACCTCCCTCCATCTCTGCTGTGATTGACTGGCGGGCGCCTGCCACTGCTGTTCTGTTACTGTGTCAGAGCATCTGATGCCTACATGATTGCACTGTAAGTATTCCTTAGTCTTCATTGCCTCCCCCTGCTCCAGAACAAGTTGTCATTATTTGGAGGACACAGGGCAGTTAGGAGCCTGCCCTCTCCTTGACCTTTCAGATAACTGACTATTCATGCAGATATTGCAAATATGTTGTTCTGGAGAGAGCAAAACATTCTAACTGGAATATTGCTGTCCCACACCATAACCACCTACTAGAAAGGGCTGAAAAGTGGCATACCAGTGATTATGAGCAGTGATCTCTGTCTCAGTACCTTACACTTCACACAGACTGGCACTATCATACCAGAAAGCATATTTTGCCTAGGTTTGGTTATTTCAACTGGCAGTATTTTACCACAACGCATGTTCTCTAGAGATCTGCCGCCCTTGTTTGCTGTTTATGCAGAGGAAGCCAATGTTGGGTCTGCTTTTTTCATTAAATAAATAACTGTGCATGAGAGAAGGCAAGGGTGAAAGTGTGCCCTCTAGGATATGGAAGAAACCAACCTGAAAAACCTTAATGCTGTTTGTTTTGAAACAGTTTCTGCAATGGGTGACACCTGCTCTTCCAAAGGAAACGATGAGAGAAACTGCAGCTTTTTTCAGTATTCAGTGGCTGAAACCCCCATCACAGACCTCAGGCTGCAGTATCTACTTCTAGAGATCAATGTTCCCCGAAGCACAGAAATTGTAAGCACAGGGTTATATTGGGGCTTCTTCCTAAAATGCAACCTCAGTGATTTTTTGTTTGTTTGTTTTTTAAATTTTCCTCTATCATGCATTAAAAGGCTTGCTCCTATGTCAACTCTGCATTGCTAAAGTACTAACTTGAGAGAATTTTCAATTTTAATTGTAAGCCACCTGAACATTTAAAAATTTATGTATGTATATTGACATTTGCAACCCCATCACTGTAATACAGCTCATAAGTGATGCGCTGTAAAATACCTTTTTAATGCAAAAATACATACATCTAGATTCTAGTCTTGTGCAGACAAATGTTAAAAAAAATTCAGAATGGATTCTTTTTACAGTGAAAATAATTTGTCAGTTTTAAAAAATGAACTAAAAGTCTTACTTAGAAATTTATCTAGCAACATGACAAACTAGTATTTTTATCAGGCGTTCACCAAGATGATTAATTATATAAGGTTAATATTTCTGTGGGTAATTATTAAAACTGGAAGCAAGTTTTGAAAGGTCTTTTTCAGCCTCTTGGTAGTTGGACAGAACATTTCAATTTAAAGTAAACCTACAAGATTTTCACAGTAAACTGACAGGTTTTTGTGAGGAAAATTCTTCTTTTATGGGAGAGAGGAAGACATACAAAAACTATGTGAAAAATGTTTTCTTTTTGTAGAATGGCAAGCAAAGATTCTTCAGTGGCCCTATGAACATTTCAGAGTTGTAGGGCTGAATGAGACTAAGGTGAGCATCTTTTGAAGGGCTGTGCCAGTGAATAAATTGCAAAACACTAAAGGTTTCCAAAAGAGTTTAATAAATAATGAGGTTCTTTCTGTAATGTATAAACTATAAATATACCATGCAGTCCTTTATAACTTAAAATAATTTACAGACTGAGGTAGGGGGTTAGGAGGGTGTT